ATCTGTTAAGAAAAAAGGACGCCGTTTGGCTTTGGGGGAGCACCAAGTGGAACTCAGCTATGTTTGTACAGGTCACCTTTTGGAAAAAAGTGTAAACTCCTTAAACGAAAGGGGTCACTCGCACCATTTCGAAGATTCGCAGGAGCCTACAGGACTCAACAAGTAAGAACTGTCATTCAACATGAACAGACACAAGGGACCGTGGAAAGGGCAAAATACCCCCGCCCGAGCTGAACAGCGAAAAAAAAATTTGAGCTGTGATGACTCTCACCAATCTATGACTGCTTTTCCTTTGCCTTTGGGATGAACTGCTTGCGCAGCAAATTCCACTTCTGCCATCGATCCATCCTTCACTGCATCAAGGATCTAAATGTCACCCACTACTTCTCATTGAGAGATCTTTTTACAGCAGGAGTTGAAGCAATGGTAGCAGAACACTTCAAGCCATGGTTTTTGGAGCTAGCGAAGATGGCGGGGGGGGGGCGTGGGGAAACTATTAGGTTGCGTCTCCGTATTCTTTCCCCGAAAAGGTTTAGGCTTAGAGTGCGAACGACCGCAGTCTTTAGGCTTGTACTGCTGCGAAGGTATAGTCTCCGTAGTCTCCGCGAAGCCAAGCTCTCACGAGGGGGAGATAGTGGTCCCCCCCCTGTCAATCATGTTAGCACCCAGTTTTCACTTGGGAAAATCAAAAAGGTCGAGACGTACTTTGCAGCACTGGTTCGGCCCTGCCTCTCCGCCTCAACTGTGACAAGCGCAACAGAAAGAAAAGTTCTGTACAAATGCAGAGAGACCCGCGAATCCCTCTCTCTCACCCCTCCCCCTAAACTCCTTATGATTGTTTGATGTTTCTATTTGAAATCATGATGGATACAATGACCGATAAAGCTCCTTTCATAAGTTCAAACACTTAACTACTTCGCACTATACAGGGATAAAACGAATCACGTAAGGTACCAAATTAGTGCAACTCAAAATAGTCGTATGAAAAAACCCGCCAGTTCAAACAACTCACCATGCGTGCTACGCGCAAAACTCCGTTCTCGTTGATTCTGATGTGTTTTGCGTTCTCCATAATGAATTTCCCTGATTCGAGTGGCGACAAAGCTTCTTTCATTGTGACGGGTTGAAATTCTGAATAATAAAACAAAGAACTAGCTATGAAACCACAATAAATCTAAACAGTTTAGGACGCATCATTTTAGGGGTACTGTAGCGCTGTGCGCTGTGCAACGTCTTCACAGACGAGTGCTTGTAAATTACGAGATTTTTAAAACTTGTGACCAACCTTATCTTCATGCTGGCCCATATCTCGAAATATCGTGCTCAGGCATTGGGGTTGTTCAATAAATGTGGTGAGAAACTTTCACTTTAGCTTCTACTCTTCACTGTCACTCCAAAACAGTACAAAAGACCATTTCAGATTTTCTTGGGATAATTTACCAAAATGGAGAAGATGTTATATTTCCTTCATTGTGCAATGGCCCTGTTACCTGGTGCATGGATTGAGCTAGTTGTCATGGTCCAGGTCTATCTCTTGGCCGCTTGTTGTGCGTTGAAAGAGTTATTGTTCGAGGTATTGTGGTGTTTGGACATTTCTAAGGTCACAGTCATTTTATTGGTTTCAGGCGGCTAATCAAGGGATCAAGAGGCGTCTCGAAAATGAAATCCGGAGGTCTCGCGCAATACGATCCGCTGGGCATAAACGTGTTTTTATCACTGGAGCTGATGGTACGATTGGACGAGAGGTGCGTTGTTATTTAGCTAATTACTGTCCCCCATTCTAGGCTCTGCAAAGAAACTTTTTCGGCTTTGGGAGGCTTGAAGTGGAAGAAAATCGCTATTTCAGTGAGGTGGATCATTTTTTTCTGTTGAACGGTGCGTAAAACCCTGACCAGCCGAGGGGACGAGGTTTTATTGAAATCTGAGGGTGCAATAAATAAATATATTATATTTTGCGTCTGCCTTTTGAGCTTACGTTAGCGTTTTTAGCGACAGAGAAAGTGTGGGTATCGATCCACCGTTTTGAACGCAAGCCAGCGTGAAACGCTGCCGTACGCTCAAGACCCTGACGCAGAGTATGAATGCATTTTGAGGGAGAGGAGTTCTGGGATCCATGACCCAAGTACTCAAATCGTCACCCAATGGGTCAGTTTTGGACCCATTGGGTGTTTGCTCTAATATGTGATGCCTTGTGCGAACAACGTCGAAATTCCAAGGTTTGGGGTGAGAAGCGATGTTCGTGAAGTTCTTAGGAGTATCGTTGGAGAGATCTTACTGGGCGCAACGAGCAGGGTATTTACTTGGTGGTTGACCAGTAATACTGAGAGCTAATCTATCAAGCAGTGATGGCAGTGCCTGTAGGCGTCTCGTCCTTCGCCGCATCATCGCAGCGACATCGCTCGCACACGCCGCATGCTTGCTACCGATGGGTTTCGCTCTTCCCAGACTCAATTGCGTGAATAAACCACGTCGTGTCTGCTCCTCTGCACCCCTTCGCTGAGACAACGTTACATGTTTTAACATGGCTTAGGAGGCAGAACTAGATTTGCCACGGAGACGGGCAAGAGAATCGTAATTTGCCGCACCGCCGTGCGCGGTGATGGGCGCGGCGTTTTCTCAACTCGTGTTAATCTGTCGACTGGAGCACCGGACTTCATGTAGACACTCATGACTATTTTCGGTTCTGAACTGCCTGTTGTCGCCATCTACTACCTGGAACCATCGCCATTTGGGGGCGCGACGCCCACCAGCGCAGTGCAATACGATACTCTTGTCACGTGCCCGTCTTACTGCACCTTCACTCACCTGAAGTATTTTTTGCGTTTGCCCTCGCGTTGAAACATGACGTCGGCCAAGCTTAGTTGAAGATTAACCTTTACTGAGAGCTGGGGGTAAACCTTCTAGAGACAGCGGTCTGGTTCTGTTAGCCACTCGGGCATTTGCACTAGGTAACTGGGCTGAACGGGCGAGCATGATGCGTATTGTTGGAATGAATATGAGAGAGCATAGAACAAACTATGTCATAAGAAATCCTTTTGCGGATGGTTTTCTCTCATACTGATCTTTTAGGTGGTTAAGAAATTTCTACGAAACGGCTTCAGCGTGCATGCTTTGGTCGGAGATCGGCAGAAAGCTAACATAATGTTTGAATCACTGAATGGCTCGCAGTTGCCTCTGACACTTTATGAAGTCGACTTCGCCGATCCTCATGAGGTACGAAAATTGGCTTCTATTACCCTTAGTCCTTCACTAATCTATTACATTATATATTATTTAGGTTTCCAAATTTGCTAGAGGATTTGTGAACCGATGTGGTGAAATCAACATAATGGTGTTTTGTGCCGGTACAATGTTAGATGATGCAGAAGTACGTCGGATTGTTTGTTTCTTTTTTTGGAGTTGAAAGTACTAGTTCTTGCTAGAAGTGGCAGATCTAGCTGATTCTTATCTTCTACTTATTGTTCCCTTGGATAGGCAGCGAGAGATTTTTATTGTGAATGTCCCTTGATGAGTGCTGTAGAGAATACAAGATGATTTGTGAAAAAGGCA